GGGTGCCCACAGCCCACCCTGGCACATCGGGGCAGTGCTGATGCCCTCCCTGCTTGCAGGGGATGTCTTCCTGCTGCAGACAAGGGACAAGCGCAACCCCCTGGTCTACGCCATCTTCTCCACCTCCAGGTCGAGCCCCCTCCCCACCGCCCCACCCCATGCCCGGTGGTGCCCCCCTCGCCCCTTACATCACCCCCTCTCTCTCCCACCAGCTCCGTTTTCCAGGGCTCAGCTGTCTGCGTCTACACCATGGCTGACATCCGCCGGGCTTTCCTGGGCCCCTTCGCTCACAAGGAGGGTCCCAACTACCAGTGGGTGTCATACCAGGGGCGCGTGCCGTACCCCCGCCCAGGCATGGTACGTGGCACAGGGATGTCCCGGCTGGTGCTGCCGGTGGGCTGCCGGTAGCTGGGGTGGGGGCTGTGGGGAGCGAGACCCCTCTCAGCCAGCGCCACCTCCCTGCAGTGTCCCAGCAAAACCTTCGGCACCTTCGGCTCCACCAAGGACTTCCCGGATGAGGTGATCCAGTTTGCCCGGCACCACCCACTGATGTACAACCCGGTGCTGCCCCACGGCCAGCGCCCTCTCTTCCTGCAAGTTGCCGTGCCCTACACCTTCACCCGCATTGCCGTGGACCACGTCACTGCCGCTGATGGCCACTACGATGTCCTCTTCATCGGCACAGGCATGTGGTGACCCCCCAGGCTGGGGCAGGGGGGGAGCTGGGGGATGCCAGGGGCCCCAGCCTCACCCCTCCCTGCCTGCAGATGTGGGCACAGTGCTGAAGGTGGTCTCGGTGCCCAAGGAGAGCTGGCACCGCATGGAGCCGCTGCTGCTGGAGGAGCTGCAGGTCTTCCAGGTAAGGGGGAGCTCCGCGGCCCCCAGTCGGCCCCCCACCCCCTTACGCTGCCCATGCTCCAGGTCGTGCCAGGGCACTCCAGCTGCTGGGATGTGGGTGCTAGCAGCTGGGACACCTGGGTCCCCCTGCACACCCTAACTCTTGCCTGCACTCTGCCCGCAGGACGCCTCCCCCATCACCAGCCTGCAGCTCTCCTCCAAGCGGGTAAGGGGGGACCTTGGGTGGGTCCCTGTGTCCTGCCATGCCTCTGCCCAGCCCTGTGCCACAGTGCCAGGGTGCTCAGCTCCACTCTCCATGCCCTCCCCCTCACCAGCAACAGCTCTATGCCGGCTCGGCCGTGGCACTGGCCCAGCTGCCCCTGCACCGCTGTGCCGCCTATGGCAAGGCCTGTGCCGAGTGCTGCCTGGCCCGGGACCCGTACTGCGCCTGGGATGGCACCGCCTGCACCCGCTATGTGCCCAACACCAAGAGGTAGGTGAGGTGCCAAGGCTCGGCACTGGGGTCTGCAGACAGGGTGAGGGGTGCAGGCCCTGCTGCCGCAGCCCCTGCTCCTCCATCACCTTCCCACAGGCGTTTCCGCCGGCAGGACGTCCGCAACGGTGACCCCAACGTGCTCTGCTCCGAAGGTGAGCTGGGACGCGGGCAGGGGTTGGAGGGTGAGCCCTGCCAGGGCCGGAAGCTGATGGCTGGTCTGTGTTTCCCCCCCAGACCCCCGGCGGGGCAGCGTGCCCCAGAAGCAGCTCTACGGGGTGGAGGGCAGTACCACCTTCCTGGAGTGCGTCCCCAAGTCCCTGCAAGCTCGAGTCCTCTGGACGTACCAGCATACCCTGGATGATCCCCAGCGAGAGGTAGGCTCTCCCCGGGCAGATGCCGTCGGCAGGACCATGCCGTGCCGAGCTGACTGCCCATCCCCGTGGGTGCTGCAGGTGCAGACAGATGAGCGAGTGGTGCGGACAGAGCGGGGTATCCTGCTGCGCAGCGTGCAACGCGCCGACGCCGGCCTCTACCTCTGCCACGCCACCGAGCACGGCTTCACCCAGCCCCTGCTGCGGCTCTCCCTGGAGGTGATCGGCGCCCGACAGGCAGCAGGCATGGCACCTGCCGCAGACCCCCAGCTCCCTGCCGGGGCCCCCGGCCGCAAGGTCTGGTACCGGGACTTCCTCCAGCTGGTGGAGCGTCCACCCCTGGGGTCTGCGGACAAGGTCTGCCAGCGGCTCTGGAGCCAGGGAAGACCCCCCCCACCCCCCCGTGCTCACGCTGGACCCCCCGGCCGTGGGCAGAGCGAGGAGCCACGCAAAGCCCGCCGCCGGCGCACCCACGAGGGGCCGCGGGCTGAGCGGGGCCCCC